GGGGCCGAGTCTCCGAGCTAAGCCCCGCCCACCCGGGGGCCGAGTCTCCGAGCTAAGCCCCGCCCACCCGGGGCCGGTTTTAAAAAAGCCCAATACCACCGCAACAGGTGTCCCGGACTGGGATGGGAGGAATGTGGGGAGACGGGCTGCGGGCTGGTAATGATTTCTGTCATCTTGTTAAAAAAATAAAAATAAAGAAAAGAAAAAAAAACTGGTGAACAGACCATTCTATTGGCTGTATTAGGGACTTCAAATATGAATAGATTAACAGGAAAGATGTAGTTCCTTGCTAAATGTGGGTAGATTCCTCATGCTTCAGTTGTCAGGATTCTCAATGCTGCTGTTAATACTACCCCAGTAAAGCGTTAGGTTACCAGAACCATCCGTCATCGGGGGGTTATAAATGATCAGACGCCCCTCTGCTGTCTCCTTTTGTTGTTTTAGCTTAGACCTAAACCTACACCAAGATTACACAGTGAGCTCATACGCATATAAGGCATGCACACGAGCTATGGTTTTGGCTAAAGATGGTCCGGAGGGCCGGGTGGGGGGAGCATGTTCTGCGGGGGGCAGGCGGCTCAACTGGACTCAGGGCCGCGGGTGTCGGGTGTCCCCCTGCCACTGATCCGGCCGGTCCAGGACGCAGAGCTGCCTCTGCTGCTGCCTGCGCGCATTCCTGGCAAGTCACAGTCCAACTGTCGCGGTTTAAATAGGCGTCGCCCTTCAGGGCTTCTCACCCAGTGACCCCCTCACTCCACAGAGCTGATGGAACAGAATCCTCAGCTCTCCCTCCCTCTCATCCATCAGAGCTGTCATCATTCTACCCCACATGCCAGGGGGGCGATGCCCGTTTATTAGATGAAGAGACCGATAAGGTTTTCTGTCCTTTTCTCATTTTTTTTGCTTGTTGTAGTTTGCATGGTTGTTTAATTATTTTTCTCTAGATCATTTTTCGTTTGTTTGGCCGCGATGTTATCTGTTTTGTGCCATCAACGCTTTGGTTTTGGGCTCTCTCTCCACTTATTGAAGAATAAGGCCAGGGCAAGAATACCAAATAATGGACTTTAATAAATTATCAATATGTATATACACTTACATTCACATGTGTTGGGCAACATGTTGTTGTTATTTTTTTATTAAAGTTTTTTGGTGGATGCATGGTTCAGTGGTTGTTTTCACAGCCTTTCTCCGTGCAACACAGACAACAGACAGCTATAACATATGCAGATTTTATAGAAATAAAAATTGCATATAATGGCAACAGTGTAGACAGAAAGTCCATTGATAGCAGATGTTGCTGTGCCGCAGGGGTTGTTTCTCCTCTTCGCTTGATCTCCAGATAGCTGGTGGTGATATTGATGGAGAATCTGGTGATGAAGGTGGAGGATTTAGAAGCACTTCCTGTGGACAATGCTGGGGCCTGCCTCGTCGTACTCCTGCTTGGAGATCCACATCTGCTGGAAGGTGGACAGGGAAGCCAGGATAGAGCCACCGATCCAGACGGAGTACTTCCTCTCGGGGGGAGCAATGATCTAGAGAAGGAGGAGGAGAAGATGTTTAATTATTTTGCCACTCGTTATTTCTTAAACGTTTCTACTGAAGATTAAAGGTAATTGATGTTCCGTTGATGCTCCAAGTACCTTGATCTTCATTGTGCTGGGGGCCAGAGCGGTGATCTCCTTCTGCATACGGTCAGCAATACCAGGGTACATGGTGGTACCGCCGGAGAGCACATTGTTGGCGTACAGATCCTTACGGATGTCAATGTCGCACTTCATGATGCTGTTGTAGGCAGTCTCATGAATGCCAGCAGACTCCATGCCTGGTTAGATGAGAGCACAAGTGTTAAATGAGGTGGACAGGTGGGCGTGCTTCCTAATGTTAAATCAAATGATAATGACGACTTGAATTACCGATGAAGGAAGGCTGGAAGAGAGTCTCGGGGCAACGGAACCTCTCGTTACCGATGGTGATGACCTGACCGTCGGGAAGCTCGTAGCTCTTCTCCAGGGAGGAGGAGGAGGCAGCGGTGGCCATCTCATTCTCGAAGTCCAGAGCCACATAGCACAGCTTCTCCTTGATGTCGCGCACGATCTCACGCTCAGCTGTAAGGGGCGATTTGTTGAGTTATTATTCGGAGAGGAAAGTAGCGATTATCACAGATACAGGCAACGAAATACACCACATGTGGTCCTTAACGTTGACTCTTTAGCATGAAATTATATCTGAAAAATTCTGATCAATAAAATATATAATTTTGGGATTATTTTTCCTTGTGTATTTTCTGCCTTATAAGAAGTGCACTAGAGTAGGTGGAGTTCCTCACCAGTGGTCACGAAGGAGTAACCACGCTCAGTCAGGATCTTCATCAGGTAGTCGGTCAGATCGCGACCAGCCAGGTCCAGACGCATGATGGCGTGGGGCAGGGCGTAACCCTCATAGACTGGGACGTTGTGGGTCACACCATCACCAGCATCCAGCACAATACCTGAAGAGAGGTAAGGCGGAGGCTTAGCAAAGCAAGGGTAACACACTCTTTAAAAAAAAGGTACAAAGTGGTGTGTTAAAGTGTGGTTTCAGCAGGTAATTGACGGACAAATTCGAGGTCCAGAGGTAACAACCTCTCATATTAGCAGAATGACTGTGCGTAAAAGTTGTGCGTAAAATAGTCCAAATCGGAAAATAGAAGTTTATTTAATAATATATGTTGAAACAATTGTTATTATTTTCTTCAGGTTAGCTGTGAAAATAAGTGGTGTGACTATGTGTGTGTTTTTCTGTGTCAGTAGGTGCTGTTTGTTGTGAGTCTTACCGGTGGTACGGCCGGAAGCGTACAGGGACAGCACAGCCTGGATGGCCACATACATGGCGGGGACGTTGAAGGTCTCAAACATGATCTGGGTCATCTTCTCCCTGTTGGCCTTGGGGTTCAGTGGGGCCTCAGTGAGCAGGGTAGGGTGCTCCTCGGGGGCCACTCTCAGCTCGTTGTAGAAGGTGTGGTGCCAGATCTTCTCCATGTCGTCCCAGTTGGTGATGATGCCGTGCTCGATGGGGTACTTCAGAGTCAGGATACCCCTCTTGCTCTGGGCCTCGTCGCCGACGTAGGAGTCCTTCTGACCCATACCGACCATGACACCCTGAATGGGGAAAGATGGGAAGGTGAAGGTCAGCTCTGAGCGCACGAAAGTCTCTGGACACACATAATGACCATTCCGTAAATGTGCCAAATAACAGCACAGTGGACAGAGAGCAACTGCCAAACTCTCAATTCACCTGTGACAAATTTAGTCTCTGAGATGGAGGGGTTACATTATTCAAATATAACGTAGCCACAATTACTTGGCTCAACATTTATTCGTTATTCTGCTCTGAATAAAACGAAATAATTTGAGGGTGAATAAAGATAATACCGCTGTTCTGATGATCCAGCAGTGTATAAAAGGTAATATATTTCTCTTAAAGTTGCTGAGGTATGAAGGTATGGAAGGTATGAAATATTAACTTTTGACATTATTTATTATCTGAATTTCGAGTTGATCCTGTTTTTTTTTTCTTCGCTGTTTACCTGGTGACGGGGGCGGCCCACGATGGAGGGGAACACAGCCCTGGGGGCATCGTCTCCGGCGAAGCCAGCCTTCACCAGGCCGGAACCGTTGTCGCACACGAGGGCGGTAGTCTCATCGTCGTCACACATGATGGCTTCTGCAAGTGAGGCAGCAAAAAAAAAAAGCAATCAAAATGACATCACTTACTCCATCAGGTAGAAATGACTTATGCACTGTGAAACTTTTGATCAGCCTACAGTTTTGTGTCATCCACACAAGGCGTCCTCTTTTAAGAATAAAACCTTCTAACATTTGCAGAAATACTAATTAAAATGGTCTAGTCTATGCTTGTGCCAAATATGTCCAGCGCACGTTTTACACGCGATTCACACGCTGTTATGCACCAAAAACACTCATTTAAATATCTGGGAATGTTATAAATCTGTATGGTTCTTTCTGGATTTGGTGAGGAAAATCTGGTCTAGTTTTGAGAGTTTAAAACTATGTACAACAAATACTATTCACGGATCTGAGGTCTTCCAAGTTACTATAAAACATAAGCCAACCCGTCCTGTGACTTTAAAATCCAATTAGCTGCAAGAACCAATTTAAGTCAGACTGCACCTTTTAGTGAAATATCTAGTAAAGTACATCGGAGTACTGAAATATCATCTTAGTCTGTCGGAGAGTCAAATGTTTCGGCTGTATCTATCAATTCGTCTTCGTCCTGCAGATTTGATTTTTTGTTTGTTTTTCCCTGTCAAATTGACTACATTTACTCAACTGGCCTCATACATTTACTTCTACAAACTATGGATAATTTTGGTCCCCAGCTGAACTGGCCTATCCTTCAGTGGGTTGCCTTAATAAAAGTCTCTTATAATCCTGCAGTCCCTGATCCTTTCTCCGGTTGATGCTCCGGCGGCTGTCTGAGTACAAGGCCTATACTCTGGTGGTCCAACCTGGGTGAGAGGCTTCAGAGGCGGCAGGTCCTTGCGGGATCTTACCTTAGGTGTTTTTCTGCGGCTCGGAGAGAACGACCCAACCAGCGCTGCTGCTGAACCAGCTACGGTCCTCCCTACTGCCTGTGCGCCTTATATACCCGACCTCCACCATTCACAAACCTCAGCACTGGCCCCCATCCCGGCCCTCTGCCATATTAGGATGCTGACAAGCCGAGGCAGCGGGGCTGGGTGGGGAGGGGCGCGCCTCATAGCGACCAGAAGGAGGCTCCGTCCATTAGGGTCCAGGGAGGGGATCAAAAGTGACGCTGCGCGCCCCCAACGAGGAGAGAGCGCGCGCCATAAATGGAACTGTCGCTTTGACCTCCCATCGAGCCCCACGGTCCCACCTAGACGGCCGTATAAGGTGCGCGCGGACCGCCGGGGGGTTTCTAGGGGATATGCCAGTTGCTGCCAAGCAGGGTTATGGATTTGCTGCTAGTCGGCCTCATCCAGCCTTAAAATGGGAAATTGCTTCTCTCATCTGAACAGATTTAGGCCACGGAGCCGGGGCCCAAACCAGTCGCTAACAGGTGAATCCGGGAGGCCACTGAAAAGTCCCCATTTAAAGCCCATGCAGTCCTTATGCTGAGGTGAAAGGGTTTGGTAAAAAAAGAAAGAAAAAGAATGGACATTCAGCATTTACAGTTGTGGTGATGAGTTATGATCCGCATTATAGCTTTATTTAAATGTGAAATTGAACATTTCATACTGTAGTTGATTAGAGATTGATAGGAGGACTACAATTAATGGCAACAATGCTTGAGGCAAAGTTAAACATGCACTCATAAGAAGATAACTGTAGGCTTATACTTTATATGAACCAAATCCTTATCTTTTCTTAACAAAAACACTTTGAGAACTATCAGCATGTGAGAAGAAGGATTCTTTCTGCACCGCAGCACTGCAAAATGGAATCACTTCTTCTCACTTCTGCCATGTTTGCATAACCAGCAGTGTTGACATGTACATCAGCAATGAATTTAATCCAAAACGTGTAATCTGCAGGAGCCCATGATTGGATGTTCACACAGATCAGTGGAGTCGGAGCAGCCAGCAGATGAAACCTTATCTGCCAGGACTACTCTGCTCTGTCACTGGAGCAGTTGGATTAATTATAACTCTAGAGGCGGGGAGCTGGTACATGTGTGTGTGTGTGTGTGTGTGTGAGAGAAAGAGACAAATGGGGAAAGTATGTGCTTGTGTGCATACGTGTGAATGTGTGTGTGTTAGTGTGTGCTGCAGCATGAGGGAAGAAGCGGAAGAGAAGCTGGTTATCATAAGACCAATGGAACTGAGGCATGTGAGGGAGAAGGCTAAAATATGTTTGATTTGGTAAATAAAGCAAGCCAACCAAAAGAGGAAAGACACAAGCTGTCATCGTGTGGTAACTCTTGACACTCTGGGAGGCAGTTTGAGATTGTTGGAAGCAATCTGTGTTTTTAGGGCACAAAGAAACAAGATTAAAAGACATGAATCATGGTATTCAGAGGTTACAGTATGATTTTCTGGACACTGACTGTGTCCATGATATTGTTTATATAGTATAGAAACTTTATCTGAAATTTGATTGATCAACTGGGCATAAAACCGAGTTTAAAGCACTTAAGAAAACACCGCTATTTGTATCCTACTGAATTTGAATTCCCATTTCATGAGCTAAAGATGGTCACAAGCTGCAACAGCAAAAGATAACCAAGATTGGATAAGAGGGAAACATCTTTCACATTTTGTCTGGTTGTTTGATTTGACTAATTGAATCCCCAATTAATTTAAGATCTTCCTGCACCTATGACGAAATTCAATCAAACCATGTTATAAAAAAAGGGACATCGTAAATCTACAGTCTTAGTGGAGGAGCACCAAAATGGGAGGGCCTTCTTAGGAGCAGTGCAGGAAATGTGAAGAGAGATGGGGAATGTATGTATGTTTGTATGTGAGGGGGTTTGGGGGGGTGGAGCGGGCATGGGGGTTGGGTGGGGTGGGACGCAGAGCAAGAGCAAGGTTGAGCTACTTTTATGTACTTGTTGTGAACCATTTCGGAGAGGAGGGCCTGCGAAACACCTAAAATGTAAAGGGGTTTGCAGTTGTTGTGGAGGGAGGGAGGGAGAAGGCGAGGAGAGGTCAGAGGGGCCGAGCTGGCGGGGGAGTGGAGACGGTCGGAGGCGATGGAGGGGGAGGAGACACGGGGAGGTGAAAGGGTGTGCGCGGCAGGTGGCAGAGACCATGAGTTGACTTAGTCAGAAGTAGAGGTATTGAGGACAACAGCAGGACGTGACGGGGATCACTGGCCAGAAGTGGTCACTTTAGCCAGGGGAAAGGCAGAGAATTATTTTTTAATTTTTTTTAAATGTAAGTGCATCAGCCTCTGCAACCGGCTATTTTCTGCTCAATTTAACTCAGCTAACAGTTTCGGGAGGGAGTCTCATGAGAGCGTGAGGGCGAGCGTGTCAGAGAAAGTGTAAGAATAGCACAAGCTCTGGCATTTAAAAGCTGGAACCGTTCTCTTTCTGTACATGAGTGTCCTACCTTTTAAAGCTGGCAGCACATGTACAATAGACTTTTTTTTCTAAACCAAAAAACCCCAAAAACTAATACATTGTTTGTTTCACTGGTATGTCTGCCCATGTTGTTGAAGTGAAGAATGACTAAGGAGTCTGTGGATATTAGAAATGGACAGGTAAAGCACAGCATGCTTAACAAAATAAATACGAGCTGCTCAGTCAATCCGTTTTCTCTCATTTTGTCTTTGATGCAGTAGACAAGACTGGATTGATTTTCATGGCTGTTCTTTAAGTACCTTGAATGTGGATGAAGATACGTCAAGACACAGTGTTTCTGACATGACATTTTCAGGATAAACAGGCAGAGCACAAACCAGGCAGAGCTGGCAGAGCATGTGTGGCCTTAGAAAGCTGTTGGAAGTTTGACTGAAGGGATTCCTCAAATTCAGTTTCTAACAATGCTGATTCGGCACATTAAGGAATCATCACAGCTCAGGGTGATTTTTCCCCCCGTTTGTAGCCAGGCTGCATATTCAGTTTGCAATGTTTTCTATTTTTAAGACCCTATGAGACATTTCCTGGATATAGATAAAGGCTTAGGGCGGTCTTGTGTAAGGTAGTGAGGGGTCAGAGCTTCATTCCCTGTAGTTCCTCAAATAGCTCGGGATGACTGCAGAGAGGTGAGGGGAGCTGCAGCACATGGAACAGGAATGTGTGCCGGGCTGAGCTGCACCTGGTGTACAGCATGAGCACAACTATGCCACGACGTGAGCACAAGCAGAAGGCCACTTAGCTCAGGGCTTCGTCATTCATCAAACCATCTGTCGGAAAAGAGAAAATTATCTGAACTCAAAGACTCTCTCTGAATCCTTGAATTGAATTTGTCGTCACCGATGTCTGTTCAAATACAAAACAGAGCACCCAGAAAGTCGTGTCTCTGGTGAGAGAGCCACTGTAAAATCCCACTGCTGCTTTTCCAGGTATCCGGCAGCAGTCTATTTGCAGACGAACTCATAGCTCTGTCAACACAGCCTACAAGTGGCTGAGAACGCATTACTCATAGCATTACCATCAAGTTTTTTTTCTTTTTTTTGGTATGACACAGCCAGTCAAGAGTATGAGTGTGGGTTAATATGTGGTGCAGCAGCGCCACCTGGTGACGCAGTGGGACACAACACAAAAGAATAAGCAAACCTACACTGAGAGGAGAGACACGGGGCTGCTGTGGAGCTGATGCCGAAGCGGGACGTACCATTTAGTTTTTCTTTTCCCATAAGACGAATAAACAAATTCCCACAAATAAAAGGACTATCAGTGTGTGACTTTATTCATCTGTAATTACAAGGGCGATCGTTTAGAAAGTATTCACAATATAATTTAGGTCACATTTGTACTTTGTTATGTTACAGATAAAAAAGTAACTCTCGGGTATAACTTCTGTCGGCATGTGGATCCATTGTCAACTGATGAACTTCGACCTTTAATTTAATCTGGAGTGAGAGGAGGTGCAGTGTGTCTTTTTCATTAACTCATCGTGGACATGTTTTAACAATATGACTCAAAACAAAAGCAACAAAGATCAGAGATTAGGCCAAACATATATTAAGGGATATTGGACCAAAACTTGTAGACTAAAACGTCACATCCACATAAAAATAAGGACTGCAATATTCAAGTAAAAATGGATCCTTTTGCGCTGAATAAAGACAAAACAAAAACAAGAATTAGCACAAGTTAATGAATATATCAATTAAAAAACAAAAATAAAAACTAATGGTCTGAGCCAAGCCTCTGGTTTCTTACAATCTACATCTGTTAAAAAATAAATACATAATATCTTTGAATTTCCTAAATCACAACATTATAACCAGCCATGTCCCTAACCCGTGCAGGCAGTATCGTGAGAGGATTTTAGTGGTTGATCAGTACAAAATTAAATCTGCAACGGTGTTGATGTGTGCCTCTGTTATGACACATAATGCACTGGTCTTAGAGCCCCCTTACCCCCAATTTCAAACTGTACATTCATTCCTGGCACTTCAAACAAAACAGCCACCAACTCCTTAGTATAAGCCTTAGTAGGATAACCAAAGAATGCTGTTATTCAGAAAAAGCCACAAATGTGACAGCTTTTTATGTACCACAAAGCCACTTCTAAATAGGGAAAAAAGAAGATTTTGGCATTAAAAAGTTAATTAAATAACATGTGACGGGCTGATTTGGGGTCTCATGGAGTAGTGTTGTGGGTATAAGCAGGTCCAAATATTAACAAAGGAATCTTTAGCTCCAGGTAACCTCTCCATGCCAGCTATAATATTTTAGCTAGCTTTACAGCGACATGTCACCAAACAGCTGTTTTGGAGTTGTTTACAAAGAATTCAAGGGGGTCAAGAGAATTTCCTTGAAAGACCGAGAAGTGCGGAGGGGATAAAAGACACAATGATGTCACAACTACAAATACAGCTGTAAACAGCGTGCTTGTAGGCTGCTGTACAATCACATCCTGAAGTTCTAATGTTGGCTCAGCTGGCATTAGTCAGATCCATGGTGACTTGTGGGAGAAACCTGTGGTTTTAGCTGCAGCTCTTGATAAAGAGGCCTAATCACGATGCCTAGACCACCTCAGACTTATCAGTAAACCTCCATCAGTGTCCTTTCAGGTGGCCAACGTTTGGCAGGTTAATGGCTGTCAGTTAAAATCTGAGACAAAAATATAAACACCTAAAGACAGACTGAATGTTAAAATAATGCTAAAACATATATAGCACCTCATCTTTGATTTTTATGCCTTTATCGTGATAAATGATTTGTCATTTGCTTTTTTTTTGTACAACCCTCAGTTTCACAGCACATGTGGCTTGTTTCGTTTGTTTAGGCTGTAAAAGGCTAGTGAAAGTGATATAAATAACAAAAGCATCTGTTTTTCAAGGGAGTGTTTTAGGCTCCCTTCCTTTTAACGCTTAGGAAATTCCCTGAACACTTTGTCAAAATAAGGGATCCCCTTTCAGCTCCCGAGTCTTCATTCTGTGTTACATATGTCCTCTTTCTCATATCTGAGAAGACCTGAGAAATAGAGGGAAGTCTCGGAAAATTACTTTGAAGGTCTGCTTTTCTTTCATCTTTTATTCATGTGTGTGAGGAGGGGTTCAAGTCTGTCAGGGCCAAAGCCAACGCATCTCCCTCCCCGTTCCTCTTCCACTTACGAGGGCTCCTCGTCCTCTCAGACAAGAGCTCGCTGCTGCTCTTCCTGTAAAAAGGCCTGCTTCTCCATCAGCTTCCTGAACAGTCCCTGCCTGTTTCCCAGCAGCTCTGTGGGGTGGCCACACTCGGCTATGCACCTCTGGTCCAGGACAGCTACGGTGTCAGCATTCTTTATGGTGGACAGACGGTGAGCGATGATCACGACCGTTCTCCCTGTAGATGGAGTGGACAGGAGATGACAACAGAGGAAGTGTTGGATGTTGACTGATTACACGTGTGTCAATCGGTTTGGAAAGGGATTGAGGGGAAAAAACTGGAAAAATGGGAGAGATTTACCCTCCATCAGGCGCTCCAATGCCTCCTGGACAAGAGACTCGTTTTCAGCATCCAGTGCACTAAATGCAGGAGGACAGGAAATTGTTGTTTGTCTAGGATTTTTCTTCAATAAAATCACATGAGATGTTTTCCCTCTGTTTGACTTAGAGGCTACTTAAAGTAGTAGTCAAAGTACCGCAGCCTTTTTTTTTTCTTTAGTTAACAGAACTTAAACGTTTGTCTCCGACTCTTACCTGGTGGCCTCATCTAAAAGCAGGATCTTTGGATTCTGGGAAAACAAAAACCATGTTAGGTAATTTAGGCTTCCAAGAAAAAGGAAAGGGGTGGCTACAATCAAAGATTTAGTTTAGTTATCAGCAGTAAATTACACTAGGTGCTGATCATCACATATCTTGTACAATAAAATGTGAAGAAGTTGTTCAATTTGACTGTTTACCTTAAGGAGAGCTCTGGCAATGGCTATCCTCTGCTTCTGACCACCTGAGAAGAAGATACACAAGTCAATTATTATCACACACATGCATGGTCTTACATGTAAGAGCTGGAAAGTTAAGTCTTCTATCCTTGGCTGTTTTCCAATAGAAAATCATCCCCAACATTCAGTTAGGAATATACAACATTGGAAGCTGTGGATAAGAAATTTGTAAGAATTTTAAAGCAAATTTCTAACACCAGGATAAAAAAGAATTAAGAATTGAAAAAGCATGAATGTAAATCGTTGTCTTCTGTCTCTTTAATGCAGCAAATACCCCAATAACAATGAGTCACCGTCCTGAAATCTCCCAACTGCAACTCAAATTTGATTAAACTTTAATTCGATAAATTTATTTCTGTAACTGAAATAACCAAATATCTCTTGAGAATGTCATGCTTGGAAATCCTACACAATATTCAAGTGGTCCGTTATAGTGGGTGGATATGAAGAGGCAGAGTGATCTAAAGCCTGAGCAATGGAAAAGAGAAAGCTGAGGAGCCTACGCTGACAAGCTGTAAGTGTGCTACAGAGAGCAGATCCACTGAGGTGGATCAGACTTGAGGGAGAGACAGAGGGAGCTGGAGATCTGTGGAATGTAAAGGCCCCAGGTATGATAAAGGCTCCTCACCTGAAAGCAGCACTCCTTTCTCCCCCACTATGGTGTCAAAGCCCTTAGGAAACTCCTGGATGAAATGATAAGCGTTGGCCACTCTGGCAGCCCTGTAGATGTCCTCTGTGGTCACAGTACTGGCGTCCACAGCACCGTAGGCTATGTTGTCTCTGATAGAGCAGGAAAACAGCACTGGCTCCTGGAAAAGGAAGAGAAACGGAAGTGATCTCTGCTGGAGGACTTGATGCTATTAGGCCACATGTCAGAGTGTTTTACACTAATTACCTGGCTGACGGTGCCAATGTGACTCCTGAGCCAGTAAGGGTTTAAATCCCTGATGTCGTGACCATCGATAGTGATTAAACCTGGAGAAGAAATGTGGCAAAACTAGCATTGAACAATCTTGAACTCTTTACTTTGTGCTGACTGATTGGGAGCTGAGGTGTATTGCTCTCACCGGCATCAGGGTCGTAAAGCCTCAGCAGCAGGGAGACCAGGGAGGATTTCCCAGAGCCACTGGGCCCCACCACAGCCATGATGGTGCCAGCAGGGACCAAGAGATTTAGTTTGTGGAAAATAAGCGCTTCTTTACGAGTCGGGTAGGCAAAAGAGACATCGCGGAACTCCAGCTGGCCTTTCAGCTGGTCCATGGGGAGGACTCGTCCCTCTGTGGAAGCACAGACAAAAAAAATCCCGGAGGGGACTCAGCTCAGCAGTTCATTCAGAATGGTGACACCTTCCTGAGGTGGTTTGTCCTTGTGTGTGTGTGTGTGTGTCTGTACACTGACCATTTAGAGGAAACTCCGGAGTTCTGTCCAGCAGCTCCCAGAGCCGGGCTCCTGCTCCAAAACCCTTCATGAGCTCAGAGTAGAACGAACTCAGGCCTGCACACCGAAGGGAAGAGTGCCGTTATCCCTCTAAGACACAGCGGGCCCAGACGCCTGTACGTGCGCATGCACACCGCGCGCCTGTTACCTGCAATGCTGATGCCCACCCAGAAGGTGTACATGAGGAAGGATGAGAGCTCTCCCACAGTCATGTGCTGATTGGCCATCAGAATGCCTCCTTTGTACAGCACTGACAGGATCATGAGGTTCCCGCTGAGACCGGTCTGGAACACAAATGCACACACACACACACCTTTTACACTTTTAATTACCACAGCATCTGGTGTGACTGCCACTCCCAAAAACTTATCACACTTATTACAGCCTCTCCGTCAACCTCCTGGATGAGCCCCCCCCTCTCTCCCGGCCACTTTTATCTGAATATCTCTTTTCTTTTACCCCTGATGGGTTATGAAAAAGAAACAGTCAAAGTCCTGTGCAGGCTGTCTTGGATAATTTGTCTTAAATAGTGAAACATTGTTCTGTGAATGATGAAGTGTGGTCAAAAACAAGAAAGCAGAGGCTTGTGTGCAATCCCTCATCTGCCAGCAGTAGATTCACAGTACTTTTTGTCACAGCCACTTACCACTCCAAAGAATCCAGCACGCATCATGGCCTCCTTTTTAGCCAGACCGAGAACCTGGTCTGTCTTCTGTGTGTACTTGGTGACTTCTGACAGCTCTTTACCGAAAGCCCTGACCGTCCGCATGTTGCTGAGTCGCTCCTCTGCTAACTGCACACACAGTTTTATTATGGCATGATCAGAAAAAAAACAGGAAATTACAGGAAATTTACTTTAACTGCAGATTTAATTAAGTTTTAAGAAGCAATGGGGCTTTAAAGATCACGTGTACTGAACACGAGGGTTAGACAAACAGCACGGCCTCACAGGGTACTAATATGAAAAGCATTTTTCACCCCAGAGCTTCATCAAAGTCATTAAGAAGTGAAAGCTCTTGGAAAATTTGCAAAAAGAAAGAGTTGATACACCACATATCCAATAGCTAATACAATTGACAGCCTGTGTGTGTGCACCTGCGTGGCTTGTGCCAGTGCGTCCTGCGTCCGTTTGGAGATGGAGCGAAGGTATCTGCCATAAATGATGGCGAAACCAGTCATGGGAGGGACAATCATCAACACAAAGCTTGCTAGACTTGGAGAGACGTAGAACTACAAGAGAGGTGAGAGGAGAAAGGTGTTACCTTCATACGAGGAAAAACATTCCATTTAACAGTCATCAAATCAGAAGCAGGAAAAGATCCATTTTAGAAACTCAGAGACCGCATCAGCTAAGTGTCTAGGTAAACCTGTTTTACAACACTCGTGCATTCTGTTACCAGTAACATGGATGAACTTCAGCTCACGCACACAGGAACTGCACAATAGAAGGATTTCAGCAGAAAAATCCCACAAACTTCCTCATAGTGAGCAACATAAAACCCGACACACCTTCACTTGTCTCCTTTGTTAGCTGGCTCAACTACTGAAGCACCGTGACCTTTTCGAAGACTGTGCGAGAAGCTTATGGAAATTAGGAGATATTTTAGATTTCAGATGGCATTTCCCACAAACCCCAGCTTCTAAATGTCAGGATGTTGAAATATCATTTTGGTGACTTACAGCACTTTGACGGTTCGATTCATTTCAAACAAATCCTTCATTTACATCAATTATACTGATATTTCCCAAAATACACCATGTGTACACCATCTGTTTTCCAGAAAGGCGCCCTCACCATCATGCTGACACCAGCAGCTGCCTGAGCGACAGCTCTCAGCCCGTCTGAGATGTTGTCTGTGATCGAGCGTCCCACCACCGCTGTGTCTGCCGACAGCCGGTTGATGAGCTCGCCGGTCCTATTCTTATCAAAAAACGCCACTTCCTGACTGAGGATGGAGGAGAAGAGGGAGGCACGGAGATTTCGGACAATCTGTTGGCCTGAAAATAAAAGGACGGAGGCCGTTAGCGAGGAGGAAAGTGAACAAACGGAAATGTATCTTTAGAAAATGTGATACAGAGACACTGTTCTTTTGTTTTTTTTTAGTTAAACTACTCTAAAGCTTGCAAAAGAAAAACACACATGACTTCCACAGGGTGGACTATGTGCACAAGCCATGAAATTCCCAGGCAGCCACAAATGCAGCAGGAAGCCATGGAAACTGGCTACTCTAACCACCACGAAACCCGGTCTTTAAACATAGGCAACAGGTGTCAGACTGCAGAGTTTCACTAAGCTAAATACAAAAAAAAACATTTCTTAAAATAGATAATGTGCACGATTTGTTTGTTTTTACTGCCTATTGGAAAGAATTTGTGTTTCTGGGCATGTTTTCTTCCTGTTCCGCCATATCGCACCTGAGGCCTGCATGAGGTAGAGTCTGACAGCGTTGGCTGCTCCGCCACACAGAAACACTCCCGTCAGCATGATGCACAGAGACGTCAGAGAGGCTGTCATCGTCTCTGTGTCTGTTCCAGAGGTGTAAATGGTGTCTATAACTCTGCCCAAGAAGAAGGGAGCCGACATGGTTACGGCACTGGAGACTGTCAGAAAGCCGACGGCAGCTGAGATGGATGAAAAGACACACAAGCAAACAGGGGATAAGTCCAGAAAAATGCAAGATTCAAATGAGAGCAGGCTTTTTACTGATTATGGCCTTCAGTTTTCTATAGATTTAAATGAGGCTTATCTCTCCAAACTTTTTTTTTTTTACTGGGTTTATAAAAGTACACCTTTATGAAGCACTAAGAGCTAATGATTACTACATATTTAACCTTTTTTTCCCCTCTTTTTTTTGTTGTTGAGCAAAAGCATGTGTCTTAAATGGCTGCGACCACTTAGAGGAACTAAAAGCTTGGTTGTCTAGAGAGCAAATAGGAGCCCAAAGAATAACCAGTATCTTGTAATACAAAAAAATAGGATTCAGATTCCTTAGGGCGAGGCATAACAATATGTAAAACTTAAAGATGAACTTAAACAGATATCTGTATACACCAGAGGGATGAAGGTTAGCCTTTGCTGTAAAGTTTAGGGCAGTTTTAACCCAACAAGGACAACAGAGATAAAAGTTAGGAATCAAATCAAACAGGCATGCACTGAAACGAACAATGGATTCATCTTTATCACACACTAGAACCCCTCATTAGCTGCTCACACAGCAGCACTGTACCTGCCAGGTTCCATCTCTCCGGGTGAGCGAGTCGGAGGATCCTCTTGGCGTCCTCCAGGGGCAGCGAGCCGGGCGTCCGGTCGCCGTCCGCGGCCGCCCGGGGCTCCGCGGGTCCGGGTGAGGACGGGGCCGAGGAGCTGGAGCTGGAGCTGGAGCTGGCAAACGCCACGGGCGTGTGTGGGACTGTCCGCGGCCGTCCCGGGGGCGTGTGTGAGAGCAGCACGGGCAGACCCGCCAGAGACCCGGCGGGCCTGACCGAGCCGAGCGGGGGAACCGGGGCCGCGCAGCCCGGGGGCTTCGCCCCGCTCCCCGGCCTCCTCCGCCGGGGGGCGGCCGGGGCGGCGGGTCGGTGCTCCAGCCAGAGCAGCCGCGGCTGGACCGCCTTCAGCTTCAACAAGTGCATCCTGCGCGAGCACTTCGACACGCAGAACAACAGCCGCATCGTCCAACGGTTCACCCAAAAAAAAAAAAAAAAAAACTGATACGTGATAAACTTCAGAAAAGTGGCAGGACTACCAGCGCGTCCCTCCGCGGGCGGCCGCCGGAGCTGTGCGTGTGTCGTTGGGTAAGTCCTCCCGGGGAAGCATGTTGGTGTCCTAGCCGGTAGGTCAACGCGCCCCACTCATTGTCAGACAGCTGTGAGGCCCGGGGCCGCTACATGGCTGATTTCAGACCGTTGTTCTGCACTTTATCAGCGCCTGACAGTCGCCTTTTCCACGGTTTATCTCTTATCAGTAAGCAGCTCCCAGCACCCTCCCTGTCACTGTCATCTGCCGAACGAGGGCTTGGCTGACACCTTAAACGCCGACACGAGCCGCCAAAGGTTATTCTACTCCAAATCCGCTTTAAGAATTAAACCCAGATCAAGGTCTAAAAAACAGAAGGCAGAAAAACACGAGAGGTGACCCCGGTTTGCTCTCAGGAACACTACAGACGATTTCCTCCGTCTAGCTGAGACTTCAATGGCTGATGACATAACGAAAGTTCCCCAGGCAGAAGCAGACAAACCCGGAGAGATCCCAGTTCTGCCGGGAAAGTTTCAGGAAAACCACGGAAGCCAAAACAGATTTGAATAGGAATAAGGAAATCTCCTTTAATTCGTGAAGATAAAATTGACAAGGGAAAGAGCAAGCCGAAGAATTAAGCAAGGACAGTTGACAATCAACATAACATTTTGTGGTGACGTCTCTCACACAAGCAGATTCAGTAGTAGAAAATGTTATTTGCTTTAAATGTAATCTAGAAAAATCGTTAAGTGGAAATAATATAGTCTATTTAGCTTTATAAAAGACCAATTAAAAATAAGGATTCTGACCATGACAAACAAGCAAACAAAAACTTTAAAGAAATATATTAGATCTTGTCAGTACCTTTACTAATCTAACATAAAAAGTTAATATCTATTTAAGATCTAATGATGTAAATATACTTAAAATACAACAGTAATTGGAGAATAAACAGCTTTCAACGATCAACACAATGTAAGGCAAAAAAATAGACTGTTATAAGACGTAATATTATGTCTATATAATATAATATAATATAATATAATATAATATAATATAATATAATATAATATAATATAATATAATATAGTGTGTGGTGTTGATGTGTGAAATAGTTAAAAACAAGACTGACACTATCTTCTGGAGTTGTGTCAGTTGTGATGGCCGATTGATGGCATTGATTATCGATTGCTTCAGCCTGGCCCGCAGGGTGAAAGTTGAAAGTTCGCCCAAATCTGAAAACAGCAGGCACGTGCGCATTCTAAAGTTGTAAGTTTGATCAACTTAAGAAAGCAGTTGTAACGTGGATGAAAGCAGTCAGATTCCAGCTCGGTGTGTGTTGTTTCTAAGGTAACGAAGAGCTCAGGTGTTAGCCTTGCTCTATATTAGCAAGAATAGCTAGTCGTTAGCATGGGAGCATGTCAGTGTGGAGTCTGAACAGACTCGAACACATTTCCTATTCTTTCACTATTTTCGCGAAGCATGAATGAATGCCTTTTGGGTTTATTCCCCCCTGTGTTACCACATTATCTACAATTATATTTTTTCTGTTTCTGTGTCCGTGTGCTTTCTAATCTCTCCCAGGCAGGTTGTTTGGTTTCCTCTTTTATCTCACTTGTCTTTCTTTTACACTTCCTCCCTCTGGCTCCTGTTCTTCCTCCAGCCTGAATTGACCTGCATATCCCAGCAGCTGCGGCGATGGCTGCCATATACTCCGGTATCCATCTGAAACTGAAGAGTCCACACACTCCGTGGGAGGACAAGCTGAAGCTGGCCCGTTTTGCCTGGATCTCCTCTCAGTGTCTTCTACCCAACAAGGAACAGGTAACACATCACAGTCCCGGGCTGGTGATGGGACTTTGGCCTACGCTTAACAATGCCTCCCCGAACCCTTTTTTCTGTTTAGGTCCTGTTGGACTGGTGCACCCATGCGCTCACAGGGTGGCACAACAAAAAAGTGGAGTTCTCACAGGAAGTTCTGGAAGGCTTGTGGTGTTACCTTGATGATGTGCTGCGCACCCGGAAACTCCATTCTGCCCTTAAGCAGGGAAAGGCCATCTGTCTGAGGATCAATATGGCACAGGTATGCGAGTGGCTGACAACATATTTTTAGTTTAAAAAAAAGAAAAAAGAATTACATTTGTTTTTAGCAGGATTATAGCTATTACTGCTCTAGATATAGCACTAACATTTGCCAGGACATACCATCCAAATAATAGAGTGAGTTATGTTGACCTGTGGTTATTTTTATTGACACTCTTTTCTTTCTTTTCTTGCTAGCTGCTGATTGACTGCCTGCAGGGCTGTGCAAACGGTCAGTCGCAGGTGTCTCTTTCCACCATACTGAGTGTGTCTAGGAGCATCTTCTCTTCTCCCGCCCTCTCGTCTGTTTTCACCACAAAGTATGAACTCGTGGTCAATCTGCTGGCCAAGTTCTGTTTGTTGGCCTGTCGTGAGATTCAGACTCCTTCGTTTACAAAGGTCCACGTTACCGCCTCGATTCCGTGTCAAGATGAGCCGACGATGGAGCCTCCCCAGACTGAAGCCAAAGCCAAAGAAAAGCCAAAGAAAATCTCAGCTTCGGGGAATCTATTTGAAGTCTTCCTTCAGGCGCTGTCCTGTTACTTGTCAGTGCAGCGACAACAAGCCAACCCCAACAGGGTTTTTACCGTGGTCACTAACCAGCTGCTCCAGCCGCTGGTGCTGCTCAGATACCTGCTGACCGCTCAGGGGGTCACTCCACATCTCCGTCAGCAGCTGCGCAGAGACATCCGCCTCAAGATAGATTCCGTCCTTCAGTTGGCTCTTTTCTCCTCTGAGCACTTGGCTTCATACAAGGCCGAGCTTTTTCCACCTAAAGAGGATTCTGGAAGGGGGGGGTCCGCGGGGATTAAGGGACCTCTGAAGCCAGCCAGCTCTGTGCTCTGCAAACTGAGCGATCAGGGCTTCTGCGAGCCATCTCTGCACTACTCCGTCAAATCCGATGCGCTGCCTCTGTTTTTCAAGTTCTTTCTGGAAAGGTACGGGAAAGGGAAAGGAGAGGGAGAGGAGGAGCAGAGGATGCTGTGTTTCTATTATCTGGCCAGACTGGTCCCGGCTTTAGACATTCACCCGGGCGGTCGCCCGCCCAGTCCGGCCGGAGCAGAGCAGGGAGGAGCCCCGTCCTCCGGGGAGAAGCCGCCTCCAGCGTCCACCTGCGCTAAAGAGAGCTGGAGCCTGGCCCTGCAGGCGCTGGACTCCCTGCTGAGCCAGGCTCTATCGGCAGACATTTATAATGTTGCCGCCGACAGGATACGACACAAAGAGGTTCAGCTCAACTTCTACAGAGCCCTGGCCCAAATATTCTTCAACGAGGCCCAGCCAAGGTAGTAAAGAACTCCCCTTCATCTAGTTTTATCATTATATGTGGATTTATATAGCCATGTTATGTCGAATCATTGACAAATGTGTCCCTCTTGAATTTCAGCATGCCGGCATGGTACCACTGCCTAAAGGTGCTTTTGAATCTCAATCATCTGATCCTCGAACCAGACCTGGACCAGCTGTTATCTTCGGCATGGGTGAACGCTGAGGACACGGGAGCACAAGTGCAACAGGCCAGACAGGTCTCCATTTAATTTAATATATTCTACATTTCATAGATTAAGTGCGGATAAAATTAGAGCGAAAATGATGTTGAAAGACCAATATTTGGATAATCAGGGGACGGTCCGTGTGTGTGTGTTTTCCCACAGCTCATGGTTGGCAGTCTCCTTCAGACCTACACTAAGCTCCGCCAGCTGCCTCGTCTCTTCTCCGTGCTCGTCTCCGTCATCTGTCAGCCTGCTCTGGACGACCGCCGCCCCCCCCTGCTGACCGAGGGCATCTCCGCGTCCCTCAGGGCCCTTCTGCTGGACACCCCCCCCTCTCAGGTGCTAGAGATCTGCTCATCAGTGCTGCAGAGCATCAGGACGTACGTTCTGCCTGACCTGGCCAGAGAGCCGGCAGAGGCCGACGAGATGGAGACGGACGGAGGACACGAGAAAGAGGACGCGTCTCTGAAGCTGTCCACCCTCTGTCAGCTGCTTCACGTGGTCCTATTCAGCTTGAAGACTCTGGATGATGTGTCCCCCGTTCCCTTAGTCAGGCAAAGCACGGGGCTGATGGAGGAGATGCAGCAGACGGTGAAAGAGCTGCTGCATCTGTTAAAAGCAGAGAGGAAGCCTTCAGAACCAAACGCAGGTTCAGCCCAAAAGAATCGAAAGAAATGTAAAAAGAATCTGGACCCCGAAGAGTCGCTAAAGGCGTCAGAGTTAAGAGTGGAGACACTCTGGGAACAGAGGACCCAGGATGCCACCCTCCTGCTCAGGTACACGTGGGTGGAGGTGGATACGCTCTTCCACATGTACTGCAGCAAATACACGGGCGTGGACTCGTCCCTGACCCAAACCGAAGGGTCCTCCACCTCTCCGCTGGTTGACCACACGGAGAGCCTGGTCTCAGGCCGGCTCTCCCCTGCATGGCTCCGCCCCTCCCCCTCCCGCAGCCCCTCAAGCTGTTTGCTGCTCAAGCTGCTGACCCTGCATCAGATGAAGAAGGTTCTGCTGGACGGCGGCCTGCGCTCTGAATCCGGCACCGCCGCCCTGCTTCAGAGGGCTGCCCAGTTTATTTTGGCCCGGTCCGAGCCCGAGGCGGCGCCGGCGGGGGGAGAGGAGCCGGCCTGGGACACGCAGGTGGTCGGCGTGGACGCCAGCACCTACCGCGTGGCGCACTGGCATCTCCTCACCACCAACTTCCCCTTGATTCTTCCACACCTGAGTGGGGAGGACGTGGGCCACATAGCCCAAGTCTTTGTCGGTTCTTTGCTGAAGAGGCAGGCCGAGAAATCCCCCGCTGCGCCCCCCGGCCATCTGACTTTCTCTCTCATATCCTCACAGCTTGCTCGGAGTCCATTTCTGGCCGAGATGCCCTCGCTGTTCTCCGCCACAGTTGAGTGCCTCACGCGAAAGGTTATCGGCATCCTCGGCGCGGGCCACAAACCCGACGTCTGTCCTAAGTTTTTGGCTCTTTGTGAGAACGGAGGCGGAGCCACGGCTTCACAGACTGGTCAACTCGGGCCTGCATCCACACCGGTGAACATAGAGGCCTTGGTCGAGGACATTGTGGCATCTTCTAAATCCGGAGAGGCGCAGGTGCTGCTCACGGACGCGCACGTGGAGGAGCTGCTCAACCTGCTGCAGGTCTTAACAAACCTGAACCCCGATGGGATGAGCTCAGAAGACCTCTGCTCCCTGTTCCTCCTCCTGCTGTTCACGTTCACCTCCACCTCCAGGCGGGCGATCGCCCACTCCCCCGACCACGGGGGCGACGCCGGCCTCCTCGGGAAGCTGCTCGGAGTTCTGGACTACCTCCTGGAGGCTCGCAGCTTCCCAAGCGTTCTAAAGCTCATCCACGGCGGCACTCTGCTGCAGGCGGCCGTAGCGGGCCTCCTCCGGCGCAGCACCGGGGCCAGACTCGGGGCCACGGGCAGCGCCGACTTCCTGGATTTAGTCAGGGCGGCGCAGGGCTTCGTAAGATCTTTGGTCCAGCTGATTATTGTCCGAAATAGCAGCGTTAGGCTCAACCTGGAGCAGTTTTCCTCCTTTCTAATCAGCGAGGAAATCAGTGGCCAGATCTCGCCGTCCAGTTCCATGACCTCCGTTCATCTTCTGCTGGCGTGTCTTGCCTCCTTCTCTCAGGCCATGAGCTCCAACTTGGGGAAAAGCAAGCAAATGGATCAGACTTTAACCCAAATGCTCGCGAGAGCGTCGGCTGGCTTGGGACCGGGCGTGGAGTTCGTCCTGAAGCGCCAGACTGCCCGCGAGGCTGTCGTCCAGCCAACCGCAGTCCTCGGTCAAGCGTTCGTGGTGGAAGTGGTCACAGTCATGCTGCAGGGCGAGCTGGCCTCGCTGTCCGTGGAGCACGAGGGCCAGCAGAGTGGGCCCAAGCTCGCCCTGACACATGAGAGCCTTTACCGAGGCTTCGGCCAGCAGATCCTCCGAGAAATCGTCTCGGCCCCCAGACCCACGGACTTCGTGGTGTCCTCTCTGCGTTTCCTCTCCGTGTTTTACGCCGCCATGGAGGGCAGGGCGCAGGGAGAGGCCGGGGAACGGGAGGAGCTGTACATCCAGATGTTGCAGACCGTCCACAGACTGCTGGCAGGTATGTGGACAAATGCGTCAGACAAAACTAACATTCCCTCCAACAAATCACAGGGTTTGGAAATCTCAAAGGTGGGCTTGTACTTCACTGTTGGGTGGAGATGCGTTTGGAAATCTCTTTCTGGATGATAGACTCTCTCCCTTTTGCTTCCAGCTCCTTGGCTGTCGCATACAGATGTTGCTGAGCTGGAGCCAGTTGTGCAGGAGCTGTTGTGCCACCTGGTGGAGAAATGTACCGACGCTCAGTTCAACCAGCTGCTGTTGATGGTCAGAGAAGGGCTGGATATTAAAAAGCTGAGAGCTGGAAACTACAAGGTGAGGCTAAGAACAAACCTGAAGAAATAATCGTTTTTGTTTTTGTTTTATTTATATGTCTTATCAGTTCACTGGTATTTTGTCATTTTCATCCAATTTTAAAGACTTTTTAAAATAGAAATGTCTACAAAAGTTATAACATGGTGCATCTATTATTAATTTGATTATTGGGACCTTGGTATTGATCTGAACTCTTCCATTTCCTTAGCATACGTGGGAATAAAATGTTTTTCTAACCTCGGCCTCCTCTCTCGTCCTGCAGGAGGTGCTGTCGGCAGCAGTCGTCACTAAGCTGCTGTCGTGTTGTCAGCTCCCTGAGACCTGCTCCAAAGCTCTGTGGCTCATTGCACCGCAGATCATTTCAGCCATTGTGGTGAGAAAAAACGCACTGACACTCCAGAGTGCAGTCTGGGTCTTTCCAGGGTCTGGACATAGTTTTTTTTTCAGACTTGTGCCGGCCTCTTTCACAAAGAAAACCACTGCCACCAATGAATGAGATGCTCTCTGAGTGAGAGAAAATTGACAATAAGAGGTTTCTGCATAGTGCAACTTTTTTTTAAACTTCCTCTAAAATTGTATTTGGTTATTTATGTTTACATGTTCTCCCCCTCCCCAAATCTTTAAGGTTGATGATCATCTGCATCTTTAGTTTCACAAAAAGCCACAGGACAGTTAGCATCACACCGACTCTGTCAAATGTCTTTTGATTTTCTTTTCGGCTCTCATCTTTCTACATTGAATGTGTCGGTTTAAATATTTAAAAGGTCTCACTTTAACGACAGGAATTTATTTTTGTTTTAAAAGCAGAATAATGTGTGCTGATGCCTTACTCTTGAAGGATCGTTTGAGCAGCTGCGATTCTGTGTGAAATTAGGCGGTGTTGAAAAATGTTTGAAATCTTATTTTGCCTGAATGGTTTTACATTCATTTCATAGTGAGAAGACAACAGATTAAATACAGACATGGTTTACTTAAACTTCCTGTAGTTCCCTGGTGTTTATTTTTCAAGTAAAACTCAGCCTCTTTCTGTGATTTACAGTCCAAGACCTCTGTCAGTGGATTGGCTGTCAGATTTTTTTAAAAGTTCACAGCAAAACATGTTTTAAAGTGGTGTATGTGTGCACAATTGTGGGCACTGAAAGGCCACTGTGTGGCTCTCACATTTGTGTCACATTTCTCTGATCTGCAGTGGGTGTTGTCTTTGTGTGTTGCAGCTAATATTAAGATCATCCAGTCAAGATGTCTCTCTGACCCTTCCCTTCACTGTTCCCATGGTGATGTCAATGACATCACTGCTGCGCCATGGGGAGGGGCTCATCGCCAACCCTCATCATGTGATCGTGGTCTTTGGAGCGCTCCATTCACTTCCCCTCGACCACCTGACCCCTCCCACCTACCACGCTGTGTTCCTGGCTGTTCACGAGGCGCTGTTTGCCATCATCCAGTGTCATCCTCAGGTACGGGGGGGAGGGGTGATCGAAGTGTGTGAGGGGGGGAGATTAAGCATGAACAAAAATTAAACAAACAGGCAAATTGGTGTTTGTTTTGCAAAGTTTTGACATTTAAATCGAGCCTTCACTCAAGACTTCCGAAAACACGTTCCGCCGTTTCAGACTTGGCCTCTGTAAGAAGAAGACTTATTCAATTCTGCCTGGAAAAAACCCCCAGTAGAAATACATTACTGGTTCAAATGCTTCTGTTAATTGATCCAGAATGATGATTGTATTCTTCTGATTTTAGAGGAGACACAGTTTTTGTCCAAATTCGGCAAAGAAACCAATAAAGACAAAGCTTAACTCTTACAAAAACAGATTCACAAGTGTTCAGGTTGTTATAGAAACCTTTAAGTGGCAAACCTTCATCCTTGAGGGGGGATTATAGAAGAGAGATCACTTAGATCTTTAGTAAATTCCATTTGAAGGACAAGTTGAGTGAGTGACCATGTTTAATAGTTAAATGAAGAGAATGTCTACAAGCATAATGCAGGGCAGCATAAAGAGCAACGGAAAAAGCTCATATGGACAATTTGGCCCGTTTCCAGAGCATGGACACATCAGGATAATAAAAGTCACAAAGTGCTTCTCGATCAACACAAGTACCTAAATTAAGCCCAACTTGCGATATAAGACAGGAAATTACATTAAAACCTTTCTAACCAAAAGTTTTCTTTAAAAAAAATCAAGTTCTCAGCTACTGGAGGGTGGGGCCCTGCAGCCAGCAGGCCCCACGACTCCGGCTCCAGGCTGTCTGTTTTTCCCATTAACATATTTTTGTCTGCCCCAATAAATGAATATTTTAAAAAGGATGCATTCATCAGACTTGTAAAGGTTTGACCCATGGTACGGTCACTGACTGGTGTAGACCATAACCCTGCTAAAAATCTCCCTCTCCCATTGGTAAAAAAAGGACTGTGGTGTCATTAGGAAAAATGATGGAATTATGCTAATGGAAAGATAAATATTTGATTACGTGAATTCGGCTCTGAATTCTGAAGTTCTTTGTTATAACTGTGTTGTATCTCCTCCGTTACTTAAGAAATCGGTTTCCTTTTGGTAAAAGTTATAGGTCAGGTATGCTGGTTTGAATCCGTGATGTGCAGATATTGGTGGTACATGACGCTGCTGAGCCTTCGGGATATTTCGCAGAGGAATGTCGCTTTCAACCAAAGGATATTGCAGCTCACCGGAGTCGGGCAGAAGCTGAAAGAAAACCTCATAACATACACATTTATGTACATATTTAAACCTTTACCTGAACACCATAAGACTCGCATAGAGATAATATATTCAATATATATTCAAATTGAAAAGCTCTTTATTTCAACCTCTTGTGATCGCGCCGAAAGGATATTTTGATTATTTTTCGCAGTAGTTTTTGGAGTGGCACAGCAGGACAGCGATGGGGCAGCTGCACTGAATTAAACATGCCAAGAAACAGCTAAGTGATGTCAGATGTTGGTAAGGACAAAAGACATTAGGACAGGAGACCGGCAGAGGAGGAGTAGAGAGGTACTACTCTCAGTAATAGAGGAGAATGAGACATAAGCGATGAGGCGGGGAAGCTGGATACAATGAACAAAAAGGGTAGAATTTGATTGGAATGTGATACATCATGGAGGTTTTAGTGGAAAAAGAGGGGTGTAATCTGGAAAAAGGAGGTGTGGGAGGATGGAGAGGAGGGGGAAGGGGGTGGGCTGGCAGAGAAGGTTGGCATGGAGCGGGTGTAAGCCGATGGAAACCATTACTGAGCTCCAGCCAGGGCCAGTGACATCATCCCTCCTTGTTTATATTCTTCTTGTTCTTCCCCTGTCCACAGCAGACCTTTAACAGAGCTGTAGAAATGAAATCAAATGTGGACATCCCACGTTCACCTCAGTTATGTTGTCAGCTGAGATTTATGGCTGCTGTGACGGTCGTATAATTTCCGAGCAATTCAGCCCTCGTAATTAAACTTTTTATGTCAAACAAAAAAAAACTCTCTTAGTTTTCCGTCATCTAAAAATATTTGAACTTCTCAGTTTCTCAGGAGCTTCTTTTAACTTTGATCCAGAGTCACAGCAGCACACCCAGGCAGGATTGATGACACTGACTCCCTAGAACAATGAGGTCATCTGGAGATCTGAAAGGATAAATGCAACTTTCTGACGATGAATAATTGACTCTACAGTAATTTCTGCTTTTTAAAAAAAAATCATTATATTTGAAGCATAAATGTTTCGGTCAGAGCGACAGTTTTTTTTTATATGTGGAAAAAAGGAGAAAAAAGACCCACCTTTTCAACAGGCACAGTTCTGGATCTTAGGTGCTTATCAGACAGTATTTTATTTTTCTTTCTCTAGGTGATTCTAAAATCCGCTCCGTCCTTCTTAAACGTCTTCCATCGCCTGGTAGCCTCTATCATGCAGGAGGGTCGGCAGAGAAAAGACGGCGATACAGGTAAGGACTACTGAAAGGGCTCATTTCTAGATGAACAAGGCTATAGATTATTAGTCGCTTCTTTGATGTCATGATCCACCGAGTCGGTTTAGGTAAATGAAAGCCAGCATAACAGACTCGGGCGCCTTAGAGCAGAGCTTATAGATTTGTTTGGCACATCTGAGGCCAGTGTATTAAAAAAAAGAGCGGTAAAGTTTGAGCGTACGCTCTCAAGCGAATCAAATGTGACTGTGTTTGTGAGAAGGGAGGATGATGTGTGGCGTCTTTTATCACCAGACACGATTGCAACTCAAAAGCATCAGATCAAAGAGAAACCCTCTTCTGTGGGCACAAATCGTTGAGTTAATTTGTTTAAAGCACATAAGGCTGGAAAGATATAAAGGGGAAGAAAGACGCAAAAAATTGGTGTCTCAGACGAGCTCGATCGGCCCCACGTAAACTAACGTTGTCTTTTTTGAAGGTTCAGACGGCGACCTGTACCTGCAGTGCTCCAGGCTCACGGAGAGGATGTACTCTCACATTGCTGCGGCCGCAGAGAGCTGGACGGCGCTGTGGGCCTTCATGGTGGCTCAGTACGTGACCGAGCTGCAGAAGGTAGGCCTGGCGCTCACGTCCTGTAAGCTGCACGAGCGGGCCGGTGAGCACAGCACCCGGGCAAAGCCTGCCCAAAGCTCCTCACTCGAGGCGTTCCGTTGGCCATTTAGATTTTTGCGCAGCTGTGGTTAACGCACACACAAACGCACACATGCCACAGAGGCAGTGGGAGCTCCGCTAATCCCCTTGATCTTCCCGTTTGTCTGGCACCTGTGAAACCTCTCCAGTGCCGGAGACTCTGACGCTCGCAGGCAGGGCCGGGAGACGTCCCCATTAGCCAAATTGTAGGTGTCCGCAGATCCCGGCGAAACGTTTCCAGGATTACGGTAACTCCACGTGCCGAAGTGACGCTGGACGCGGCCTCAGAGCCGTGAGTCATGTCTGGCTCCCGTCTGCTGGCATGTCCCGGGCCTGATTCAGCAGTTTCCAGCACAGTTGAGAGGAAGATGTAACGGTTACATCCAGACTGCCCAACAGGCTGGCAGATGGACCGACAGACAAAGAGAGGAGGACAGAATCCATGTAAAACGAAAAGCACTTACATGGTGCTTTTAATGATGCTTTTGAATGGATATTGTTCTTTTTAAGGGAGATGTAACCTAGCCGTCTGTCTTTAATTTGATTCGGACAGCAGGTACGAGGTCCTCACATGACAGCCAGGTGTTATTAGACAGGATCAGATAATAAAAAAAAATTAAAGAAGTAATATTTAAAGAAGTATCACAGATGAATTCTCTTGTTTTTGATGAATCTCAGGCTGGTGCATCACTCTTCTCTCCACCCGTGTGGCCGTTTTGACTTGCAACTGTCATAGAATCCACAAACCGATGCGATTAGAACGCGAGGCATTACGACATTCCATCACCTTTTTACGATCTGTAGCTCCACATTGAATTTCATTGTTTAGCTTTGCTTACCGAAACCCAGAATGTGAGCCTGGTTTTCTGCTGTCATCTAACACACACAATCGCCTGCTCAGAGCAGCTGTCACCTCCTCACTCCCTGTCCCCAGGCATGACAAAAGGTTGGGGGTTGTGGTTGCACCGGGTCACGGTGTGTATCACCCGCACTGTATGCACTGGAGGTATAATGTAACGGAGATGAATAAGCGACAGCCGTTTAATATCCCCCCGGCTTGTTTCACAGGGTTCAGCGAGCACGGTGATTGCTATTGTGCATTTTCATGTCGGTGGTTAGGGAGAGCCACACTCGCTGTAGTGTCGGTTTCCTTTCTGGCTGAACAGCCGGTCTGCTTTTTACCTAGCGGGGCACATGCATGCACATCATCGGTCCTCAATCATTGTCACAACTCTGTTAAGAGACGATCACTTGAGTTTAAGTCCAAGTTTAAAGGGTCTCTCCATCATCCCTCCCCTCTTATTACTTATTAGTTTTCAGACTTGAATGAAACTCTTTGGACATAAGCTTTATACAGGCTCAGGATGCTTTTTTTTTGTTACGTATGATGATATCAGGAGGTAAAAATGCAACAAATTTCAACAAGGCTTCCCCGAATACATTTTTATTTCATCAAGTGAAGCAACAATATGATTTATGATAAAGATCAACACCATTTGGTGTATTTACGATTCCCTTCTTGTCGCATTGTCTCCTCAGGTGTGTTTTCATTTTTCAGATTGACCCTTTCTTTTTGCTTTTCCAGGTTACTCTGCGAGCAGATGTCAAGCAACACCTCACCGAAGGCATTTATTACATCCTGGACCTGTGCAAGGAGCAGGACATCAAGTTTTTGAAAGCGGGGCTGCACGCTGGAGTCAGAGAAGTGTTCAACGAGCTTTACAGCAGCTACACTCACTATCACAAAGCGCAGAGGCAAGGGGAGGAAAAGTACACCGTCTGATCTGCTGAACGAATGCGTGGGTCCGCTTCTGAATGAGGACATCGGACCCAAAAACAGGTCCCGTGCAGCTGGGTGTGAAACACAGTCTTCTTAGAACTGGATGTGATAGAAACTGCTTTTAATTCTGAGACATTACACAGCATCAAATGGAAGCAGAAAAGCCTAGCACTGCATTTTCCACAAAGCTGGTTGTTTGTCACCTCTATGAATATTTAAACAGATCAAGCCAACAGGTGTGTGAAGCCTTGTAATGAAACAAGCCTGAGGAGGACCGTGGCCAGACCTGCAGTACTTACATATATGCACCCCCTTTCATCTGCTGACTGTGGAGAGTGAAGTTGGACAAAAAAACATGTGTCGATGTAGATTCTCTCATGTCTTTTCACATTTCACCTTTCATTTGAAAGGTGTCTTCAGCTGAACCTAAAAACTGAATCGAAGGCTCCTACTCAAGCTTTTAGATAAAAAGCTGCTGCAGGCACACTGCATTCTGAAGACACCGCGGGGGGCCGACTGAGGGAGCTGATGGCAGAAAGCAGGCACACTGAGATGGTGCTACAAGGCAGGCTCTGTCATGAGCCGGAGTGAAAACATGTCCTGTTTGAAATATTACATTTAGTTATTTTGTGAGCTGTCATCGGGTACTTTTGAGAGATTTGGATATGCAATGGTTATCAATATAGGATGGATCTAAGAGCAGCATTTTTATTTTGTAAAGAATTTAATTTCAAAGTTTATTGTCAGTGATTATTTTTTATATGTGAAATTGAAAACAAATTGAAGCTCAGGAGTTACTCCTGCTGCATAGGTTTTTTTGTGTAAAAAAAAAAAGAAAATAAAGACAGAAATATGCAAATATGAATATTTGCATTGTTTTGAATCTCTGACCTCTAAAATGTGTTTGTGATTATGCAACACTTTACATTAAATTGCATTAAATGCAGCTTAAATAATTTTGGACTGATCCTCATTGTTTTTTATGTATTGCATAAAAAATAAACTGTTTTTTTTACTTTGACTCACCTCCAGATGTGGCCCCACCTCTGCATCACAGATCTGTATCCTAATTTTCTGGATGGCACGGCCAACCGTCTTCACAGTTATTTCTGGAAGTGTTGCTGATAACATGCAATGATTCTCATCCACAAGGGATGTTCAATGCAGATTCTTTTACCTTGTGAACTTTGTTTAGATGATTCCCTGAATCTGTTAATGATAGTTCTATACCCTGAGGTGTAGCTTTATTCTGTAAGAATCTCTGCATTTTTATGATGCCCCACATCTTTTTTTTTTTTTTTTTCACCCTCTTACCCATTTTAAACAGCATCCCAAAGTTGAAAGAACGAGGGTTTGTAAAGTGACGCAAGTCTTTCCATGTCTGGAGTTTTCACAGTACACCACATACTTAAATCATTAAACCTCAGACATTCTGAAGACAGTACAGAAGATGTTTAGATCTTAAAAAGCACAACAGGTTTATGTCAGCTTCCAGAACTCATAAGCTAGTACCTGGTTTGATTCACTGATATCTCGCATTTTCCAGCGTTTTGTCTCTGTTTGCACTCAAACATCCTCAGGCAGGGGCCTGCCATCAGTTTCCATAGGAGCAGAAATATTGAAAAGACTGAACTGTGACTGGAAAAGTCTTCTTAAAAAATACGTACTGAGTGAAAAACCTGCACTCAAAAACCTAAAATGCATTTGACTTTAGTTGTTGTATTCATGCCACAGCTAGTTTTGGAGTAACTCTTTCTCTTCATTTCCTTTTCTCAGTTCTGTGGGGGATTTTGGGTTGCTATAACACATAAGGTTGCTGCTATTTAACAGGACACACTGGGTAGGGACTTAACACAGCAGACTACATCACAATTATGATCAAAGGCAACAAATGACATCTTTATTTCTGAAAGGCAAGTCGACTTTTCAAAAGGTCCTCCTGGCTCTCCTCGGGGGATATTTTAAACCCTTGAAACCGGACATTCAAGACAGCCAAGGTTACGGGCGAAAAAGATAAAAGAACCCTTTTACTTCTACGCTGCTCAAATTGCACATCTGCTTCTATTTCTCACTCCTCTCTCTCTCTCTCTCTCTTCAAGTCTACTCCAACCCTCCATACTGAAGCACTACTGTAGGTAACAAAAACACACTGGTTCTCTTCTCTGGCCAATGCAAGGCAGCAATGACTAAATATGTGCTTGTTATACTACTGGGACATCCTTGAAGGCAAAGCACAAAGTGTGCATTGATACAGTAGTATTTTCATTTAAAATGCAGGTATTTTTGTACTGGACATCTTTAAAAATGAAAACTTAGGCCCTTTAGTTCATCCAGGGATGTTCCAGCTGAAGTCACAGATTCTTCTACAGGTTTCTGTGTTATTTTTTTTTTCTATTTTGTCATTTATGTGGCTGTCAAAAATCTATAGAGAAGGATTTTGCCTTATAACAAATTAAAAGTGAAAAATAACAGAATTTGACAGTAATGCACAAAATGACGAGCCAGTGTGGAGATTAAATCATTAAAATTGTTTTACAGTTAATTATCCCCCCCCCCCCTTTATTTTATAGCAAAGATAAAAGCGATGCTGAAACACAAGCAATCCTAAAAAATTCGTGCAAAATTATTTTAAAAAATAAATAGAAAACATCTGTTTGCAAACTGCTCAGACCAATATTTTCTTTACACAAGGACACATAATCGATATTGCGATATGACAAAAACTAGCCCAACCATGAAGGTGTACTTTGATGCCACTTAAACCAATATGTAGTAAGACCCTTCACAACTCGTTAAACAGGGAGGATTCACCCGCTTCTCGCTAAGATAAACGACTTTATTTTTTTCTGAAAACTGTTCTGTGACAACGGTTTAAATCCCCCCAGCTGATCGTTCCACACATCAGCCCTCTTCCAGCGGCTGTTTTCTGCCTTTTCTTGTGGTTAAAAGACTCTGGCGCCCCTATCGTCGAAACACCGACACTAAAGTTATGTAGCATGACAACCCTCTCTCGCATCTCGTGGAGCAGCATTTCTGACATTTTTTATAGCGATCATCCCTCTTCGCCCAGCCTCGACCGCCAGCCTATCCGGCTCTAGCACGGGACGGCACGGCTCGACGGGCTGCCAGCCTCTGGCCTGCTATAGGGCTGCCTGAGCCGGTGTTTGATTGGATTAGAGTCGGCTAGCCTTTACCCTCTAACCCCGCTGATGTTGGCTCGCTGCTTCCTGCTCCCTCCGCTCCGTCTCACCGACTGACGAAGCCCGCCGAAGCCGCACGGCGAAGCGCCCCGCACGGACACAGCCACCCGGGTCGAGCCGCTGTTCCAGCCCGAGGCGAGCGGAGCCCGGAGCCCCGAAACCAGCAGGCAGGCGGACGGACGGAAACGGCTCACAGCCATGCGAAGGAAGTCGAGGATATTGCTGTGTTTTGCGGTGCTGTGGGTGTTGGGGATAGCTTACTACTTCTACTCGGGAACAGCGCTGAGTCGAAAGGTAGGAATTCCGTTCCTCGACCGCTTTTTTTTTTTTTTTTTTTCCTGGTAGCGGGGTCCGCCCGGTGCCCGTTCCCCGTCAGGACAAAGCGAACGTTGGACCGGGCTCCGTGTTCCCCGCGTTTCGAGGCGGGTTGCACAACGCGGTTGGAGAACGCGATAAAGGGCCTGCTAGTATCAGTGGGCAGGCATTGATTCGGTGGAGATGAATGTGGGGGGAAAAAAAGGGGCTGTGGGGTGGCTGCTCGAGCCGGTCGGGGTGCGCGGAGCTCCCGGTTTTTTAGCGGCGTTCCGGCTCGGCGGCGGCGGGGAGACAGCGGAGCCCCGCCGAGCCGAGCCGAGCCGTGCCGGTGAGCCCCTATAGGGCTGCCGAACCGGGGGTCAAAGCCTGGACACCACACAGGTGAAAAACCCAGTCGGTGTTATCAATAAGAGGCTGCTGGCGTGGCTCTTAAGGCCGGGGGGGTTGGTGGTGGGGGGGGGGTTAGCCCGTGGAGCACGTCAGCACAAGCTGCTACCGCCCGAGTAATAAAACAAAGATCAGGAAGTGTGTAGATTAACACTGCTTTAAATCACTCACACCGTGATGTGTGTGTGTGTGTGGGGGGGGCTTTTAAAGACCGGCTTTAAACATTTAATCTTCCGTTTTTAATCGATTGAGATTCCGTTTGTCCCTCCCTTTATTATATGGCATCTGATCACTGTCCAGCCAGTCCAAAGTGGAGGCAATTAGCAGTCCCAGCTATGACGGATGTTCATTATTTTGTAGTTTGGCAAGAAATTGCCCAAAAATAAAATCTGCTTCCATCATCTCGAATCATTCTTTGTCATGTAAATCAGACCTGGGCTGTTTTCCAGACACTTCTCTGAAAGCGGAGCCGGTGGCGGTCCTTCTTCAGGCCCATCAAACGCCGCTCTCATTTTGCTTAAGCAGTGATAAACAGAATGCCCTTTTCAGCTCTGGACTGAAGAAGACAGCACCTTAGGGGGGAGAAAAAGGGCTGGCATGTCCAATTTTCTTTGCCCTCACAAGCTTCACTCTCTGACGTGACCCCGGATGTGACCTTTGAGAGAATTCTGGGACAGTTGCATTAGAGAGGAGAGAAGCCGATGGCTTTGCCCCCCCCCCCTCCCAGTGGATGCAGGGGATCCATTCATGATGCGCTCAACCTGCACATGCAGAGTTACGGGGAGACATGTTTAGTTGAATGTCCTCCAGGTGTTCAGGTGTACTGTAAGACATGCTTTTCCCGGAGTGTGTGTCTCCCAGGGCACCCTGCTGTGTGTGTATGTGCTTCCATGAGTGGGCGGTTGTGTGCACACAACGTTGCCTCTATTACCTCTCTGGATGCCGTTGTGTGTGTGTGTGTGAACATCCTGTGTGTATTCCACCTGTCTCCTGTCCTGTGCTATCTGTCTCCCTGTGTTTGCTTTGCTCCAGTCAACCACAGCCGCCCTTTTACTTGTCCATTAGGCTGATAGCTGCTCTCGGTCTGTGTGTACGTGCATTTATTTGAGGTTTTTTTATCAGGGTCAATTTGTCACACCGTGATAAGCGACTTTCTCTGCTGCCGGATTCATGCGGCATCAATATGGATGATGGGGTGCACCTGGCAGGTTTTCTTTACACCCAGAGATGGGAAATCTGTTTAACTAGCAGAGCTGCTGCACAGGTAAGGAGTTGGTTTCCCACCACCTCTCTGCTGTCTTGCACAAAACATGAATTTTACACATAAGCTAAGGTCTCATTTGCACATTCATTTATTAAAATTTGTGATTAAGGCCAACAGCAAACGACTACTTTAACTATTTAAACCTTTCTTTATCTTAAAGTAACTACCCCATTCCAAATGATGGACATTAATTGACAACACAATGCCTCCTCCACTTCGTCCAGGGCTATTTCTGAGTCACTGGCCTGCTTTCAATCCACCTGTAGAAGCTTCATACACTTATGTCCTTGCTGCTCCTGAGCATTTTGAAGAATTTGAATGTCTCCAAGAGAAGAATTAGCTCAGCTGGCTCCATCGGCTCAGTCATATGTCGCGGATGCTTTGAGGCTCCACAGATCAAAGCGCAATCACAGAAGCTTCCTACTGTTATCAGCTGAATGAGTCCCCTTTTTAGAAGGATGTGCCTCGTCTTGGAGTGTGAGCCACAGTTTAAAGAGGCTCTCGGGCCACAGTCTATACGCTATCTGTGTTTGGCACAAATGTAAAGGCCTCCATTTCAGATAAATTCCTCTCGATAGAGCAGGAAACCTAAAAAAAAACTTTGAATGTCATTGTGTCTTCTGAGGTCAAGAGGAAATCTTTCCTTCAAGCCGTGTTATGGGGAAAATGTATCTTTCTTTCTTTCACTGTCGGAGTGACAGTGCTATCTGGTATTTTTAAAGTTAACCTGACCTGAGTCAGCTTAAAATGACTGTGCTGTGTGGCACTGATGCTTTTAAACACGGCATGATGTTTGTTCTTTCACATCATCATCCTTGAACAGGGCAAACATCATAACCAGTTCCTGCTTTGTATGATGCCTGTGTCATCTATTACCTTTTTATGATCTATCACAGCTACGTTGTGGGCTGAAGGGGAGCTCTGCCTCTTTAATTTAAGTGCACGTAGACTAGCAGACAGCTTTGGGAGGCACCCTT